ATGGCAATCTGCAGTATATTCATATGAAAATACACTCTCTGAACCAACCAATGTGGTTAGTGTTACAGAGGATATTCTTCATACTCTACCCCAACTGTCTTTGCCCAACAACATTCTTTTTTACAAAATGTGGATGCTGCAGTACCCAGATTATTGACCATGCTCTTAACCTTCCTGCATTGCTTCCTAAATGTGGAAGGACCAACCAACCAGAAATGTACAAAACATTTCTTAGCCCATATGGTTACTTATCTCATCTTGCCCTTCTTTAGTGAAATAACTTAGATAAATTTAAAAAATTATTTCATTTGACATGGCATAGAGTCTTACCAACCCTATATGAGTCCTTGACTAGAAAAAAATAAGTAAAATAATGTAACTTTACAACAGCATGGCAAGCTCTTGAATTTGCTTACCTTGTCAGTTACAGATATTTCAGACTCTTTACCGTGTGTAATTTTTAGTATACTTTACCTTTCTGCCTGCGTTGTCTATGAGCATTTGATCGCTGTTTTGAAGCTGTAGGTTTTTTATTGTTCTGTTTTTTATTCTTGATGTCTTCCACACAGGTAGTTTCTATCTTTTTAAGGATTATAATGTCATCTGTATTGGAAAGTACAGATTAAAAAATAGAAAAAGCCAAATAACAACACTGTATCTCAAGTCAGCAGTCATCATATTTCAGAACATTTAAAAATTTAGTACACCTGAAAAACGATTTTACTATAATAATAATCAAACTGAAAAACCATAACAAATATCAAACAATACAGAGATTTTACAGTTAGTTTTTGGAAATAAGAAAAACATTCCTGTCAAACAGATCTGTGGTAACTGCACTTACAAAAATAAAAAAAAAAAGCTTCAAGATTACAATAGCTCAAGGGAGGACCATTTAAATAAATGTTATTTCAGTTCCAGAGAAATATAAAGCAATAGTATCATTTTGGAATAAATGTAAGTGACAGACAATTACCTACATATATTTTCTTAAAAAGTAAGAAGGTAAGTGCTGGGGTTGTGGCTCAGTGGTAGAGTGCTTACCTAGCATGTGTGAGGCACTGGGTTCAAGCCTCTGCACCACATAAAAACAAATAAATAAGCTGGGCACAGTGGCTCATGCCTGTAATTCCAGTAGCTTGGGAGGCTGAGACAGGAGAATTGTGATTCAAAGCCAGTCTCAGCAACTGCAAGGCACTAAACAACTCAGTGAGATCCTGTCTCTAATAAAATATGAAAAATAG